CGTTAAAGTGACAAAATGGCCAAATACCTAAGACAATAACTAAGCGACCTTGACTAATCGTTAATGTGATCACATGATTAACGTCCGGTAATTTATTAGACTTGTGTAACTTCCAATGTTAATATATTTTTCAGAATGTCTCGTTTTCCAAGAGTTGTGCCTTGGACAACTTCAGAAGAATATCAACAAGTATATCAGTGGTTATATTCTGATGATCCAAAACAAAATGAATTAGGTGTCAAACGTGTAAGCAAAAGACTTAAAAAATTGTTGTACGTAATTATTATATTGACGTTTAATTTACTAAATTAAAAGGCCAAGGTTTGGTCTGCTCGTGGAAAAAATCCTCATGCTGTTGTGAGCACTGCTGCATTTGTAGAAGTATCTTTAAGAGATAAAACTTCTTTTGGAAAAATATACAATCATGAGTTGAGATTATTATATTCAATGGCTTTCATTAGGTATTATATCTATAACGTTTTATTATTGTTAAAAAAAAAAAAAAAATTCAATTGTGTATGATCCCTTTTTTTAGATTTGTCAATGGAATGGTAGATCCAACTCAAGGTTCATATGCATCATCTGTTGCGTCGTTAGCATTAAAACTTAATATGCCATTATGGTTTGTTGAATTACGTCATGCTGGAACACATGAACATCTTCCCAGCTTACAAGTTTTGCGAAATGGATGTCAACAGGTACAAAATAATACACACACATATATACATATATTAATCAATTTAACAAAATAAATGAATGAATGTTACTGTTTGCTAGGCATTGCAATGGCTTAACGAAAATTATTGGGGAATCCAAAGACCATTGCAATCAACGCACATGAACGAAATTCATTCATTGCTTTCTAAATACAAAGAATTAAGAAAGAAAAATTTAAAAGGTAGTAACCTAATTTAGAAACAAATATTATGATTAATATATATAACATAGTTATACTTATAGATTCGGAACCGGATGATACGAATTCTATGGACAAGATTGTAAAACGATTATTAAATTTAGTTAGCGCAGAATATGTGAGAGATTTACTTATACCTGTCTTATTAGAAGAAGGATTCTTGGTGCCTACAGAGACTAAGTATGTAAATGCTAATCTTCATATTCTGGTATGAAATTCTGAACAATTATACTTTTATTTTAGAAAGAGTGCCTCTGTGGCTGATCAAACATTATCAAAGGATTTGTTAGATTTATGGTTTGCCATATTATGCAAATTTGATAGTGAATGGACTAATTTTGGCAGTGAATTAGTACAGGGTATGTTAGAAAAATTGGTAATGGATGAAGGTATTTGATTATTACTAATTTCACTCGTTTTGTGTTGCATATAATGGTCAAGAATTTAACATTAGACTTTGATAAAATTTTAGCGAACGTTAATCGTGACGTCAATCTTATTCAATTGACAAACTTTGTAGGTAAAATCAATAAATTCTGTTCAAAATTTCAACAAATTCTTCAATTTTCAAATTTTATCAATCTATCTATAGCCACCTGCTTCAGATTTGATACAGCAGCCTAAGCTAATTCACTCAAGTTCCAGTTATCACTTAACTCTTGGTATGGCTAAGAATTTTTATAGTTTAAATGATAATTCTTTCAGTAATTATATTTTAATTCATAGTGGCGTGGATAAGTCATATTCTAAAACTTCACTACGCGGGTGATTTTGTGACTTTTTCCGACTTGGATCTGGAAAATGTTCTTGAATTTTGTCTAAGAAAACCGAATCCTTAGTGAGTAATTCATGGTTATTATACCGTTTCTTATAAACTTACAAATCGTTTTTATTATAGTACCAAAATGGTATTACAAGTTATAATCGATCATGATGAGGAGTTGAAGACAATTATTACTCCTTTCATGAATTATATTGTTAACATGCTAAATTTCAATGATGTGAGATATTTATATTGATTATATTGATTATTTTATCATAAAAGAATCTGCATATATACTGAAATTATTTCAGAATTTTAATTATGATAAAAAAGTTCCAAAAATCACAGATGATGATATGAACAATGAAATATTAGGGTTTCAAAAGGAGCTGAACAGTATAATCAATTTGAGAGAGGTAAGTAAACATGTTATTCATTTTGAGCGCTTTTATACGTGACTTGGGTGTTTTTAGTGTCATATGAACTACAAATATAATCCAAGCTAGCGCTGTAGGCTATTTCACTCTGGTGGATACCGTATTGTCGTGAAATAACGTCTGTGGTATTATTTCGAGATACACAAATAAAATTATTTTTCGCACGGCTAAATCAACTCTTAGCTCTCTTTAAATTGTGTCTCAAAATAACGCACTATTTTGCGACAATATTGTATCTTGCAAATAGCACTACTGTATGCTAAATGTTTTGTCCTGACGAATTGTTTAGCTCAGGAGAAATATTTCGCATAACATTAGTCTGGACTATACAATAATAAAAATTCTAGTATTTTAATTCTGTATTTTCGCGAAATAACACCAACCTACATGTTAGTAGAATATTTCGCGTTGTCTCTGATATGCGAGTTTGCGTCATTTTGAGATCAAAAGCCAATTTTTCTCTGAACATGATTTTCAAAATAACGTAATACACGCGTTGTATATGGGTCATTACCGGGAGAAAGCTTGCAATTTTATGTACTTGATGTATTCAGTAAGTTTCACCTTATAGTTATGGCGGGTCTATATGAAATGTGCATTATTTGGGACGCGCACAAGCGTCATTTTAAGACGACATACTATTTTTAGAGCCGGTTTTATAATCCGTTATTTGGCGAAAATACGATGGATTAATTTTTTTTAAAAATGAAAACATATACCCTTTAATTAGATCTATATACAGTCAGACCTCTCTAAATGCATAGCCGATGGACGGCCAAAAAATCTTGCATTTAGAGAGGTATTGCATTTAGGGAGGTAAAATCTATAAGTGTTATATGAGTTAGGGCCATGCACTTAGAGAGGCTCTTCACAGACTATGCATATGCATTTAGGGAAGTCTGATTGTATAGTCAACTCAGAACAAAAAGTTATGTTTAAAAGGTGTCTAAACCAAACTTTAATAAATCAAGACTTGGTTTATCCAGGCTTGGTTTCGGGAGAGTTAACTGTATATATAACTATTCTACTCTAAGGGTGTAATTTTTGGCCATTGAAAATATTTATTATGTATTATAAGATACTAGGCACCCTAATATATAGTTATTAAAACTTTAACAATATTATGACCTTTTTAGTCAGTAGAAGAAAATAATCCTATTACGGATTCAAATTCAGAATCAGTATGGAAAATGTATGATTCGGAAAAATGGAAAGCATGTCCAATGGGATGTTTACCTAACGGACAAATTCCTTGTTTGGATCTTTCACCTGACCTAGACGAACAAAGTAATGTCTTTCTGAGCCAAGTTAATCGATCCGTTTATTCTTTAAATTTGTATATTTACCAATTTTATATTGTTTGTACCAGTCATTGTCAAAAACGATAAATCTTATACAGATCGATGAGAAGATCAAATTTAATAAGGTATATGTAAAAGACATATATTTCATTGCTACGAGTACAAGACATTTAATTGAATTTTTTTTCACATTACTTCATTATTAAGAAGTTTTGTACTTTTTATTATGCAACTAAAATTATTATAATAAACACTCTTATAATAAAAGAATGTTCAATAATATATAAAGTGTAACAGATTTAATAGTGTTGTCACGTTTGCTTTGTCCGAGACTTTTAAGTCATGTCCAATGTCCAAGAAATTCTACAGCATATTCAAGTTTCAATATTAATTTGAAACATATATTTTTTAGCGATAGCACTAAAAATCACACCAATGATGTTCAACACCACATATATTTTAATAGTTTCGCTAGTAAAATTTAGGGTTAGGGAACCTGAACTATAAAGATATAGCACAGGTTTTTTTCGTAGTTTTACCGGCTGCCCTTGCATCGAAAGTGCGTCAGGAGTACGTCGAGCGTAACCCGGGTTTACATGAAGAGAACATCTTCCTGCGTTGCGAACACAAAGTAAAATTTCCAATTATATAATGAAATTTTACTTCATGTTCACAACGCAGGAAGATGCTCTCCTCATGTAAACCCGGGTTACGCTCGACGTACTCCTGACGCACTTTCGACGCAAGGGCAGCCGGTAAAACTACGAAAA